GGGGGGGTTCTGGAGTCTTGCGGGGTTCCCCTGTACCTAGCGCCTGTCTTGTGTCCACGAGTGCCACGGCGTCAGCTGACAGGACGCTGTCACGTTCATGGCCAGGTACCGAACCTTTTGCACGGGCGGAGACGGGCAGCCAGCGGGTCAGCCGCATGCGTTGCAGGGAAGTACACGGTAAGTATGGAGGGTACTGAAGGCCGTTACCCTAGAGATAGAGGGGATTGCTGAGAACGTGCTATCAATGAGTTACCTATTGGCCATTGCGAGGTACAATTCTCCAAGGCGGGGTGTACAACTGTCTAGAGGTACCTACACTTCCACTTAACATGTCGTCTAATGTTAGGATCGTACGGTATTGGAATATCATTCTAGTCTGATGGAAGAATGAATTTGATACTACACTAGACCATTAAGTACTTGTAATACCTAACATCAGCATTCGTTCACATGGTCCCCCTCTCCAGGTAATAAAGTGTAGGTACTTACCTATCCGGTTCCCCTGGACTGTGCGCTACCTGGCAAATGACGTACATGCATCCGAGCTGGAGCCTTTGATACTAATGGATGAAAGCGCTCCCTCCCCGCCGGCGGTAGCCGTGTAGGTAGTGTAAGTAGAAGTACACATCGGATTTGTAGCCTGAGCGGTGCCTCGTCGGCTTGTCGACTTGTCCCTACGGTATAGGCGCCACGCAATACTCGTCGCATTCCCATTTTCGATCCTTTCAACTTGACGAACTAAACGGCAATGTGGCCAAAGTTCGCCCTATAATCTTAGGGGACTGGAATCTGTTGTTGGCCTTGCTCGCCATGGTCTTCACCATGGGTCGTCGAAAAAAGGCGAAACCAAACCCTCCGACCGAGCCGGCGGATGGTAGTGTTGTCACCGAGTCCTCAACGTCCACATCCGATATGCCGCCGAAATCGTCCTCGAGTCTAGCAGTCTCTATATGGCGTTCAAAAGCCGTTCCAACGCCGACCGCTTCGAACCCACCTTCGTCGACGATGACCTCGACACCTAACAATGCTCTATCAACATCCCAGCCCAATGCGACCGCAAATACAACTCCTATTTCGAGCAAGCGAGGGCTGAAAGAGGTAGCCTATTTCTCTTCCGCCACCATATCCAGCCTGTTCAATGTTACACCCGATGCTAACAGACTCGCAGCCCCAGAAATCTCGGAGTTGGTACGGCTCATGGCCACGCAAATCGACACCCTCAACACAAGTCGCCCGTGAAACAATCATGGGCGGAACACTCGGATCAAAAAAGCGAGCAGACTTTAGCCGTTTTGACACAGAAAGAAGCACGGATAGTGTCAGTCTCGATGGTGCAGCTTCATCTTCGTCTCTCCCAAACTTGTCACCTTTCGAGAACCTTGATGATAGGGGATCCACAGGCGGTGAGGTACCAAAGCCGGGGCCGGCAGTGGACGATAACGCTGCCAAGACCGACCAAGTTGCTGTTAGTACCACTGGCAGCAATGAAGCCGAGGATCGCCCATCACCAGACACCCAACAACAACAACAACAACAACAACAACAACAACAACAACAACAACAACAACAACAACAACAACAACAACAACAACAACAACCGACATCAGACACAAATGGTATGCACCAGCCTGCGGATTCACAGTCTACTACCACCGAACCACAGTCGGGAGAAACAGCTTCCTCCAGCTGGCTAGGGTGGCTAGGCCAATCTGCATACTATTATTATCCAGTCTTAACTGCCTCCGTCCCGGTTCTGCCAAAGCTTAGCGAACCCAGGCCCAACGGGGGCGAACCTGAAGTACCCGAACCCCCCAAATCAACCGAGGAATCCTCAAACAATATGCCATCAGACGGAGATCCGCCAAAGGCCCCGGACGCTCAGGAGCCTACGTTACAGACTGCACCCCAAGAAAAGCCGACTTATAGCTATGGGAGTTATCTGTTTGGGTTTTGGCCAGGGAGTGGCACGACAGAAACAAAACAGACGGATTCAGCATTATCAACGGGGGAGCCACAGGAGGGAGCAACAAGCCCGCCATCAAAGGATTCCGAGGACGTTGAGATGGAGGATGCGCCTGCAGTAGAGGCAGCTAAGCCGGCCCCAGCACAACAACCAAAATCAGGTTCTACCTGGGCGTTCTGGTACCGTGATTCAGGGTCGAATTCCCACATGAAAGATGGACAGAAAGAGGAAACTGGCCAGTTGGCTGTGGTGGGGGAAAGTTCAGAGTCCCACCCGAAGAACGCCAATGTGACCGAGCCCGAGACAGAGCCATCCAAGGAGCCATCACTGAAGTCGGTAAAGAAAGATGACCAGCCGAGGGCAGCCACACCTTCATTGAAAGAAAGTTCGTCGAATAAAGGGAAACGGGCAAGACCGCAATCCATGGTCGACGAACCCATTTCCCGCCCCGATACACCCAAGGTTGAGCCCATAGCGAAAGCTGAAGGAACACCCAAAGCTGGAACTTCCAAGAGTTCGAGTTCGCTCAAACTGCCGCCTCCTAACCTTGTCCTCCCATCATTCAAGAATGTGTATCGCATGAAAGAGAACCCTTCTATTGTCCGACAGATAAAAAACTACCTGCTATGGACGCAACAACCAGCGCCCAAGCATGTCAACATTGCCAGGGAGCCACCGAAGATCAAAAAGGCTATCGCGTTTGGAGTACACGGGTTGATCCCCACATACTATCTGCGTCCGATAACGGGACAACCAACGGGCACATCGATCAAATTCGCAAATCATGGCGCTGAAGCGATTAGAAGATGGGCCGAGAGTCACGGTTGCGGGGACTGTGAGATTGACAAGGTTGCTCTTGAGGGCGAGGGCAAGATTGACGAGCGTGTGGAAAACCTCTGGAAGCTGCTGTTGAACTGGATTGACAAGATCCGTCAGGCGGACGTTGTGATCATGGCATGCCATTCTCAGGGTGTTCCTGTTAGTATCATGCTGTTGGCGAAACTCTACGAGCTGGGTGTCATCTCTCCAACAGCCAAGGTCGGTGTTTGCGCTATGGCGGGTGTCTCTCTCGGCCCATTCCCGGATTACAAAACTGGGCTAGGTATCTTGATGGGATCTGCAGCTGAACTGTGGGAATTCGGAGATCCACAAAGTGAGGTATCCAAAAAGCTCGAAGCGGCTGTTAAAGCAGTATTGAACTACGGGGCTCGAATCACTTATATCGGCAGCATCGACGACCAGCTTGTCCCTCTGGAATCCGCCATATACGCTCCTGCCCATCACCCGTACATCTACCGGGCCGTATTCATCGATGGCCGGATCCATGCCCCTGACTTGTGAGTGACCATTGATACCCAACCATTTGGTGCTTTGCTTACACGGATAATTCTCAGCATTGCCCACCTAGTCGGCTTCGCACTGAAACTTCGAAACCTCGGCGTCACAGACCACGGCCTTATCCGTGAACTTTCCGTCCCTCTTGCCGGCAGCTTGTACACAGGCGATGGCCATTCTCGTCTTTACGACGATGAGCAAGTCTACGAGTACGTCGACCCCAACCTTCCTCCTCACCTTTTCCCTTCTTCACTCCCCTCTTTCCAGTTTCCCTTCACTCACACCCCCCTTTTGACAATCTCACTAACCTCCCTCCCCTCCAAACAGCCTAGCAATCTCCCACGCCCTAGAAACAACCGACGTCAGCCCTTCTCCCACCCGTCCCAACAGCAAATCCTCCGTTCCCTGCGACATGGCCACCCGCCAACCTGGCACCCTCGCCAACCCGAATCCGTACCATCTACCCTGGATCATGCGTGGCCTGCTGGAAGAGGATTTTGTCAAGTCGGAGC